ACCTGATGGCATCTCTTTTCTTGAAGAAGAGGCAGATCTGTCTGACCAGCCTTGGGATGGGAGTGAGGTTGGGGACTGAAGAAGGCAGACTAGGGTCTGTTTGTATCAGACTTGAGGAGAAGAATGAGGGAGCTGCCTGGAGATGAATAGAAGCTTTATTTTGCTGAGGTTGGAGCTCAGGAAGAGACACAATGAGGAATATAGGAGAGAAAAAAAGCTACTTTCAGAGGTGTATTCATTTTGACAAGACAGAGGCAGGGAGCCCACCCTGCTGTCCTGCCTCCCTTCCACTCTCCCCTTGCTCTGTGGGCTTGCTTGAGTTCACATACACAGGCGCACATATATTTGGCTGCTTGTTCCAAGCAGAGGCACTTGGCAACTGGTCTCCAGTCCCCTAAAAACCTGGCTATGTGCCTTTTAGAGTGATATCTACCTGCCTATCTAATCTACCTTCTTCAAATTTCCTTGCAGGCAGCGAACAAGGTGAAGACTTCTATGAAGAGGAAGGAAGCTATGAAGAAGGACTTGAATACTACTCGGAAATAGGGGAAGACTCCGAAGACTCCAACATGGAGGAGGTGCTTCGGGTGCCAAACACTTGGGCCAACCCTGGAAAGAGGGGGAAAACCGGATAAACAGCTTACCCTTGTGTGGGGTCACCTCTCTGTTTCTCTTTCCTCCTAACCTGTTTGCCCTCTTCTTCAGTTAGGGGCATGCAGCTCCATAATGTACTTCTGAGGGGTGGGTAACTGACTTCCTACACAGGTTTAAAGTTTATTTTTATGGTTTAGTAATTACAGAGCTCTTATTTTGGGGGGAGTGAATGGGGGAGTCCCCCTTCTTTGACCCTCTTTCCCCTCAGGCTTCTGTGTGCTGCTAGATGTATTTATTGTGATGCCTTGGTCAGGGCCCCTCTATCTCCCTTCTCATCAGTGTTGACTTCAGCCCCTCTCCCCTCGCTGTTTGGACACCCTGATCTCAAAGCGGAAAGGGTGGCTGTAAACTTCATTGCAGCCGAGCAGTGGCCATGGAGACTCTGCTGTGCCCTGTTTTCTCTAGTCTTTTTCTCTCTCTTCATTCCTCTCCTCTTCCAGCCGTGCACGTTAGCCGGCCTCGGTGTCTATGCAAGGCGCCGTTTTGTCACTGCAGTGTTCTTGTGCCCCTCCCCCAGAAGACCCGC